CCCCGTGGCAGCCTGTGGCAAGCTAGGCGGGTGCTAGAACAGGGCTAGAACTCACCGCCTGGGGCTTGAGCTCCATTGCCTCGCCCAGGAGAGGGCAGAGTGGCAGACACCCCCGGATCCTTCCCCACCATTCAAGGGGGCCCTGGCCCAAAGGGGGAGCCATGCACTGCTGCCCTTAGGAGAGCTCCCCTGGGCCGGAGGGGGGCTGTTTCTTTACATGGGCAAACCTGAGTTGTTTGTGATCTGCCCACTCATAAGCCTGGGGGTGGGCAAGGGGGGAGAACGGCCTAATGGTTACAGCAGGAGAGGCCTGGGGGCTGCAGCCAGCAGGTAGAGCAGATGGTTGAAGGGCCAGAGAGACCAGGCAAGGGTTACCCTGGGCCACTTGGCTTCTGCTGCCAGCTGCTCTTTAATTAACGCAGCCTCCCCTCTCCACCCCAGGCCCCAGCCCTCGGGGCCACAGGCAGCTGGGGGCCGGGGAAGTGAAACCAGACGACGCTGTCCTGTGCCTCCCCCCTTCCTCTGGGCCCCCATTCGGTCTCCACGGGAGCAGCTGGCCAGGCGCCCCGAGGGCAGGAATTTAACCAGGTTACAGTGAGCCCTGGGTGGGTGGAGGCAAGGCCTCCCGGCTCAGCACTTTTGTGTGTGTGTGTGTGTGGGGGGGGGGGGTGTTATGCCACTAGCACTAGGGTGTGAAATCAACTCCCCCTCCCCCAGGCTGAATAAACCGGTGCAAACGCTGGCTGAGCTAAGCTGGGCTGTTTTCTCCTGTCCCGGCAGCCTCTAGTAACTGCTGCTCCCTTCGTCGGGGGCCCCTGTCTTCCCCACACCCACCCGGGGGGGAGGGGGGGCTGGTGACAGTTTGGGACCAGCCCCCTGCTCGGGTAGACGCAGCAATGGAATTGTGGCCTCTAACGCGCTGTGGAGTACTTCAGCCTGGACAATCAAATACCACATCCCTCCCAAGGAAACTGAGGCCAGGTCCATGCAAAACCCAGCAACATCAACAGAGGCTCCTGCCCCAGCTGATAGAAGCCCACAGGCCTGGCTCCCACCCCCCATCCTAGGAGTCCTGGCGGCCCCTATTCCAAACCCACTCGCCCCACCATGAGGCTCTCTGGGGTCTAGCTGCAGGCCTGCCAGTGCCCCTCTGTGCCTTAGTTTCCCCAAATGAATAACCAGGCTCTTGTCTTTTCACTGCCTGATCTCCCCCCGAGGGTTTCACGGCACGACGGAGGCACAAACGCTGTAGTCCAGCCCCCCCTGCCAGACCTGGGGACAGGCTTCAATTAGGGCTTAAAAAGTGGCCCAGCCCAGCTCTCCAGCACAGTAGCTATTTTGCTATCAACGCGCCTCCCTTGCAGCAGGGAACATGCAGCCAAAGGCGCTTTGCCTGAGTGGGGTCAGGGACAGTCACCCACCCCTGTACAGCCAGGCTGGGGCTGCGCGCCCAAGCCTGGGGTGGCCACCCCTGCCTCACCCCCCCAGAGCATCTTCCCAGGGTCAGAGGTGCTAGGGCCTGTCCTCAGCCCACTGCAGTGCTCACGGGAGGAGCACCGGAAGGGAGGCACGCCCAGCAACCGAGGGCTTGCGTGCAGCAGGGGTAGGTCGCTAGCCCCGTGTTGGCAAGGGGGTGGGTTAATGGGCCCCGGGGGGGGAGGGGGTGATGTGCTGATAGACGGCTGGGCCAGATCTGGCCTTCGTGAAGACAGGGACTAGGTCTCCAGGCCCCACGAGCCCGGTGGGGCCCTGGGGGGCAGCTGAGTGGTTCCCAGGCTGCACAGCAACACACAGCTGGGGGGCCTAGGGGTTTCTGTGATAAGGACAAGACTGGCAGCGGACTTCACCAGGTCCTGGGTGATGGGGCTCAGCTCCAGGCTCCCTGAAAGAGGGGGGGGGCCCCTCAGGTAGATGGGGCAGGGCTATGGGCAGCTAGCTCTCAGCACAGCCTAGGGCTCGTCTCCCCCAAACATGCAGCTCACAAAGCTGCTCCTAAGCCCCCCCAAATGGCACCACCCCCCATACTCAAGGGGGCAGCAATGGGGGGTGCCCGTCAACAGGAGCCTGATATGGCCAAACAATTCTTAAAGGGGCAGTTCCTTTTTTTTTTTTTTTTTTTTTTTCTTTTTCCTCAACAATTCTGGTGCAGCTCTTTGCATTTTTTCTGCTGCTTCTTCAGCTCTCTTTGTTAAATGGGTTGGCCACCCCTGACCTAGACCAGGCCCTGCCTCCCCCAGCCAGTCCTCAGTGTCACCCATATGGCACCATGCGGTGCTCTGATGGAAATTTAAAGGGCCTGGGGTTCGGGCTGCCGTCGCTGCTCCAGTAACAGCCCACTCTGTCCCCTTCCCCTCACAGCGGCAGCCCTGAATCCAGACGAACCGCTCCGCTCGCCTCCCTTTGCGGAAACAAACAGGCCTCAGCGCCAGAATCTGTATCGTTTTTATAAACTTCTTAAAAACTTCATGGGAGGCAAAGGGGGAGGGGGGAGAACCCAACTATTTACATAAAGTGTAAAAGGCACCAGGCTGCAGTGGGAATACATTCTTCGGCTCGAGCGCCAGGGGTCCGGCCCAGCGACCTCCAGCACCGCGGCTCAGAAGCAGAGGGGAGACAAGACCTGCCCCCCGCCCTCCACAGGGTGAAGAGAAGCCAAGACAATTTACACTTGTTACAGGTTAACTGCGGCGTAGGCTAAGAGAGCAGTAATTGGTCACTGTATAAAAGACTAATATATTAGAGTCCTCTAAAAAAAAGAATTCTTACACGGAAGGGATGGGCAGCCGCTCAGAGCCCTGGGGGCAGATACATGTATGCAGCAGGCACTTTTTGCTTTTTTTTTTTTTTCTTTTCCTTGGCTGGGCGAGTCTGGGGAATAAAGTGCAAGTCGTGGCCACGGTGGCAGGTGGGAAGGAGAGAGGCTGGAGATCGGCAGATGATGGAGCTGGTGGGACAGGAGAATTCAGACCCACAGGCCTGGGCAGAGAACTCACTGAGGTGCAGGGCCGGGGGCGCCCATGCCCTTAACCTCCAGGCTAGCGCCAGCCCACAGCGGGCTGGGTTCAAATCCCAGGAGAGAAACACCCAACCGAAATTCAGCATGATGCTTAATATGCAGGCAGGGGGACGAGCATGGAAGAACCGAGGGAGAGGATGCATTTTCTAGTCCGTAAGCCCCCCCCTTTATTCCACCCCCACTGAACCTCACCCCTATGCGAGCAGGGGGCTGTGTAGCTCCCTTCCCCCGCCACGTGTCCCACCTAGGCAGGGGGAACAACAGGCTCCAATGAGCCCTGCCTGGGAGGGGTGGGGGGCAGCATGGGAACGCCCTGGAGTGTGAATCATATCCCTTGTGGACAAAGGGATTATTGCCAGCACCCCAGGGGAAAGGGGGTTTACAGCCCAGGCCCTGCAGCATAGGGCAGGGGGAGGAGGGCTGCAGCTGTATTACTCACAGGGCATAGAACAGGAGGTGGAGGTAGGGTGCACAAATGCAGATACCAGCCCCCTATATTCAGCAGCCAGAAACCCAGCACGACCCCGGCTGCACCCACTGCAAGCCACCCGCCGCCCGCTCCTCCCCACCCCGGGATGGCTGGGCTGAAACAAAGCACCTCCAGGCCTGTCAGAGAGGGAGGTGGGGGGTTCTCCTTCCCCTCTCAGGCACTCGGCTGTGCAAGTGGGCACCACTGCTTGCCCACAGGGCCACAGGCCACCTCCACGCCTGTGCCCATGAATCCCACCCCAGGATCCAGCAGCATCGTTCTACCCCCCCAGTCTACCCCCTGCAGCCGCTCTCCAGCTGGGCGGGGAGTCCCGCGCTCAGTTCAGCGAGACCCGCAGGTAGGACGTTGGCACGTAACCCTCGCCGCCTTTGCTCCTCCGCACCCGGGTCCAGCCATCTCCTTTGTCCTCCTCCATCAGGCTCAGCTCCTCCCCCTCCGTCATGGAGATGGTACCTTCGCTGGAGCCTGGGGGGAGGGGAAAGATGGGAGGGAGGAGAGGGAAATCAAGGCAAGGGACACAGAAGCATCAATCCTCTTTCAGAACTCAGTTTGGTCCTCCTGCCCTGCCTGGGATGAGATAGGAGGGCCCCTACGGCCAATCTCCCAGGACCCCTCTGGGCCCCTCCCCAAAATAGCTGGCTGCAGAAATAGAAGAATGGATTAGACCCCAAGCGACCCTTCCTTGTCCCCCATTCACCAGGAAACATCCCAGCAGGCCGCTGGTCAAGGGGCATCTCAGCCAACACCGCAGGGGGCGGGTGTGGACCGAACAGGGGCTTGGAGATGTACCCTGCCGTGGCGGTGACGTCTCCAACCCCGAGCGGGATTTGAACTCAAGACCTTCAGTATTAAAATGAGTCCCTATTGCTTGACCTATGCACGCAGCCAGCACCAGAAGGCAGCTGCCCACCACTGGCATGTGGGAGGGAGGGGGGCAAGGAAACAGGTTAAAACTGGTTGAAAATGTTACAGCAGAACAGAGCCAGTCTTAGGGATGGGCTGGGGCCACATTTCAGCCTGACCTCCCGAACCCTGCTGCCCCCCCCAGGGCCGCCAATTGGTTAAGAGCAGCCCTGCGCAGAAAACTGGATTTTTCGGGTGCTTCCCCTGGACACGTCTACTGGCTGTTGAAACCCTCCCCACAAAGCAGGCTGTTTTGGACTAGGCCATACAGCCGCAAAGCCTCATGGGAGGTGTGGTCCAGGTGTCTCATACTCCCCCGCACCTCCCCGTGGCCTAAGACTCCCATAATGCACTGCTTCCTCCATCAAAGGCAGCAAAGGAGTGGGTTATAACTCCCATGATGCACCACGGCCTGAGATTCCTTCCCTGCCCAAGTCACACCCCGGTGAATCAAGGGAGATGTAGTCCAACCAGGGAACCTGGCTCAGAGTGGAGCTAGACAGGAGGTGTCTACCTTCAAACTGGTACATGGCCACACAGGTGCCGATGGGCGAGGCCAGCTCCTCCTCAAAGTCGTCATCAAACTCCGTGTAGATTGGCTGGTTCAGGGCATCCTGGCTGTCGTCCGAGTGGGTGGCGTCCGGGCTGGGGGAGGAACAAGGCGACCGGCTGAGCAGCTGCTCCTGGGGTAGCTCCAGCCACAGGGAGCGGCTGTCCCGAAGCAGGAGCTCGGTCTAGGGGTTAGCGTGGGGGTTGGGAGCCAGGGCTCCTGGGCTCTATTCAGGCACCTCTACGAAAAGCTCTCCCCTAGCAAGACAAAGGGACGCGCCCAGGGACGCCAAGACCCCCGTGCAGTGTGAGTGGCTCTCAACCTGGCCGCCTGCTCCCCACGGCGCCTGGGGAGGGACATTGCGCCGCCTCACCTGTCCTTCTCGTGGGAGCCGTTGTTGTTCAGGGTGGTGGCAGGGTCCGGCGGACGGCTGTATCTCAGGCTGTTGTCCGACCGGTTACTCAGCATTCTACCCTCGGCCTCGGTCAGCCACGACTGGGAGGCGAGAGGGGGAGGTTTAAGCCATTCCTGCCTCCCCATCGCGGAGACAGTGCACGCAAAGGGGAGAGCATCTTCGTTCACACAGGGACTCCTCCGCTCCAGGGCCTAGCTCCCTAGCAGGGACACCCCTTAGCTTGGCAGCTGCTGGAGTCTTGGCCAACCCCCAGCCCATCTACGGACCCAGCCCTCTGCCGGACACCCAGGTTCAGAGCAGCACCCCACCACCCCAATTCTCTCTTCTCCTCCAGGCTTGATGCAGACTTCGGGCTCCCCATATTTTGTCTTGCCCTGCCCACCCCCAGTGTATAAAAAAGAGCACAGAACCCACAAGTCCTGGCTCCCAGTCCTGCCCCCATGCTCTAACCACTAGATCCCACTCCCCCATAGTCTGCATAAGCAGACTAAGCAACTGCTTAGGGCCCCCACTGGCTCAAGGGGGTGCTCTAGTAATACCCCCCAAAATATCATTCACCCTACGTAACAAGCATAGCAGTACATGGTGTGTTGGTATATTCTGTACAGAAATACCATTCATTTTTTTAGTGCATGGGTTATGGGGGACCCCCGAAAGATTCCCCCCTGCCCTCAGCTCCGTCTCTACCACTCCTGCCAGAGCTGCAAATAGAACCCAAGAGTCCTGCCTCCTCGCCAATTAGCTACAATTGTATCTTCCCCTCCAGTATCAGAGACAAGAGCTATCAGCTGTAGGAACAGGCAACACCCAAGAGGATCTGAGTCACCGGCAGAAGGGGGTGGGAGGGAGAGAAGGAGTCCTTTGATCAGGCTACACATGTTCAGTGGACTCATTCACAACATCAACCTGCTGGCTGAGAACTGCCTTAGTCAGCCAGGAACCTGGGCAGAGCCCTTTAGCAGAATTGTCGAGTGCAGCGTTTCCCCAAACGTATTCCACGGAAACCCTGGGGTGCCGCGAAGTGAAAATAAGGGTTCCGTGAGAAAATTCCAAACAACAACATTTCATGATTTAAAAAAAACCAATCATTCATATTACGTGATTTGTGTTTTTAAATACGTGCAATTAAACTAAATGTTGAGCTCATGGCCTTGTTTAGCATTTATTTATTAACAGGGCTCGACAAACTATGTAATCTACTTGCCCGTGGCGAGTAGATTACAACCCGGAAGAGCCAGGTTCGGGCGATCTGCGCATGCGCAGATTGCCGGACAGTGCGGCTTGGCGAGCCCTGTTTATTATTATCCTTACTTATTTGTGATCTGCTTTTTCAGCTCCATCCATGAGACTGTTCTTAGGGGTTCTGCAAAATGCTTTCGAGTTTAAAAAGGTTCCGTGGCCAAATAAAATTGGGAAACACTGGTCTAGTGTAACATGTTCCGTGGCCAAAAGGGAGAGAGAGAGAGAGAGAGAGAGAGAAAGTGATCCCAGACCCGGGTTATTTCTGTGAGTGAAACTACTAGACACTGGGTTACACACGATTCACCCCAGAATAATTCAGGCATGACTCAGCCGCTCATACATCACACCGGCAGCCTTTGACTCATGAGGACACCTAACCTGAGAACCAATGCAGTCATGACACTATTTCCTAAAGGGTCACTGGTTTAACACTCATCAGGCACACTGTTTATTAGGTATATTATGTCAATGTTATTACCCAGTCTCGGCCTAGGTCTCCATCATGCCAGGTGCTGTACATACATTATGGTAATACCCAGGAACTCCAACCAAGACCCGGAATCCCCCTATGGTGGCTGCTGTACAAACACACAAGACACTGGCTTTTGGGGTCCCACTGCGATTAAAAGTCTTTGGGACAATGTGCCTTACAGAAGCAGGATGGTGCTGCAAGTGGGGCACCAGTCTAAGATTTAAGGCTCAAGTGCAGCACCCTGCTCTGCCACAGACTTCCTGCATGGGCCTGGGGAAAGTCACTTAGCCTCTCTGTACCTCAGTCTCCCCAGCCACACAATGGGACTACAGCCTTGCCCTGGGAGGAGACATACATTAGATGGTGCAAGGCTCAGACAGTGATGGCAGCCAGAGAAGGACCTAAAATCTTTAGGATCTATCCCACAAGGCAAGAGACACCAAGTGGACATTTGAGCACACGTCCATTAACATCAGCTCCATGTGGGTTTTATTGGGTTTTTTTGGTATCTTCCCATTGCACTTGCCAAGATAGCTATTTCACTGGGAGAGCCCAGTACATGCTGCCACCTTGAAAGCACCACTGTGCCACGACATGCTGTGTCTACACTCAGCGAGGCTGAGCAGCGTGGCCTAGTGCAGAGATCCCTAAACTGTGGGTACACCCCAGAGACACATTCGGGGGTGGGTGGGAACGGCAGGGCATCGGAAGGGTGGAGGGGGACAAACACCCAGCTCTGCTCTGGCCCTGCCCCAGTCCTGCCCCCAGATGTGGCTCCAGCCTTGCCCCTTTCCCCCATCTGAGTCCCCCCGCTTCACCCTAGGCGCAACACTCCTGGCTGTGGAGGAGAAGACAATGAGGAGGGAGCACCACTCAGAAAAGTTTGGGTACCACGTGGCTAGAACACTTTGCTAGGGACTCGGGAGACCTTTTTATTCATCTTAGTAAGTCACTTCCCACCCCTCCCCCGCTCTGTGCCTCAGTTTCCCCCACTGTCAAACGGAGATTTTGGCACTGATGCTGTTGGTAAAACACACAGCTCCAAGGAGTGTGAGGCGTTGTTACGTGGTGCGGCCATTAGGGGGAGATAAAGCCCTCTCCGAGACTGAATCAGTTCAAACTGCGGTAACAGGAAGGACTGGCCGGACCCAAGGGACATTGCGTGTGGGTCTGGAAGGAGGTCGGCATCACAGAGGGCTCAGCCGGATGCGTGGAGGGGCCTGGGGCAGAGGCAGGCCCCCCGCCCCCTTACCTCATACTTCTGGATTTCCAGCCGCAGCTTCTCGATGTTGTTGAGGGTCTCTGAGATCTTTGGCTCCAGGCTTGCGGGGTCGCCCATCTGCGGCGTCTTCTGGTACACGTCCTTCATCTTGTTTAAGGCATCTCTGGAGGGCAGGGGAGGGGGGAGTTAGGGGAAGGAATTTACAAGGGCAGCCCAAAAACTTTGCCTTCTGGCAAGAGGGGGAGAGAGATTTAAACGCAATTGTAGGATGGAACACACACACACTTTGTATGCTGTGGCATAGTGAGAACTAGGGGAAGCAATGTTTCCTAGCGTACAGAGCACTGGACTAGAGGTCAGAAGACCTGTGTTACACACATACCGAGTCAGCCCAGTGGTCCCTCTAGCCCAGTGTCCTGTCTGCCGACAGTGGCCAATACCAGGTGCCCCCCAGAGACAACACAACAGGGACTCATCAAATGATCCCTTCCCTGTTATTCACTCCCGGCTTCTGGCAATCAGAGGCAAAGGAAGCCCACAGTATGAGCTTATCTAGTTCTTTTTTTTTTAAAACCCTGTTTTTCAGTCTTGGCTGTCACAACATCCTCTGGCAAGGAGTTCCACAGGTTGGCTGCACATTGTAAGAAGAAATACCGAGAAGAAACACTTTTTACTTGTTCTAAATCTGCTGCCTCTACATTTCATCGGGTAGCTGCTGGTTCTTGTGCTTATGTGACGGGGTAAGTAAAATGTCTCTAGTCCCTTTTACTACAATCACAACTTCATAGACCTCTCTCATATCCCCCATTAAGTCATCTCTCCCCCACATTACAGGCTCCACCCTAACCTGGAGAAAGTCACTTCTCCTCCTGTTTTCTCTTCTACCCTGCTCTACTTAGGTGGTAGACCAACTGGGGCAGGCCCTGCCTCTCAGTTGGCACATCCAGTGCCTGGCCCAACGGGGCTTCCGTCTCAGATGGGCTCCCTGAATAATAAGTATCTGAAGGGGCAATTCCAGTCCAAGCACACACTATGCTTGGAAGTCGCAGCTGCAAGAGGGCAGAGTTTAAAAGCCTGGCGAGGGGCAAGGTGGTGCATTATGGGAGTCCCTGTTCCATGAGCATCATGGGGGATGTAGTCCGGAGAAGAACATGGCCAGGAGGCACTCACAAGGCACTGCCTATAGAGCACCCAGAGCACCTACCTCTGGTCGATTTCCTTCTGCAGCTCCCGGCTCCTCTCCTCCATCTTCTGCTGCAACTTTTTCCTCCTCTGTTCTGGTGGCAAGTGGCTGAAATCTTCCGTGATCACAGGCTGGCAGCAGGATGGTGGGGGGAGGGGAGGCAGAAAGAAAAGGGCACATCAGTTTCCTGTGTGCCGTAACATGCCCCCTTCCCCCTCCCCACTCCCTGCCCTTCCCACCGTGGGTTGGCAGGGCCAAGCAGCAGCGCCTGACGAGCCGCTGGGCACAGTGCTGGACTGCCGGAAAGCCATTCCCCGACGTGCAAGAAGCCGGCCAGCCCCCGGGGAATGTGCGTGCCCCTCAGAGAGCCCGATCTCGCCAAACGTCCTCAGCCGTCGGGAGCCGAGCGCCTCACGGGATCCCCGCCCAGTGCAACACGCCGCACGAGGCCTTTCTGCCGGGATCTGGAGATCCCAGGTCATGCAGTAAGGAGGTAACATGCTGTCTGGGCCACCCCGGCCACCGCTCCGCAGCTCTACACCAACACGGGCCGGAGCTTGGTCTCCACCGGCAGCACCCGGGGAGGAGGTGTCAAAAAAAATCCTTGTTCTCACGGACTGCTGCTCCCGCCACAGCACTGACAGCAGGATCAGCGATGGGGGAACCAGCACTGAGCGGCAACCCAGGAGACGGGGCCGGTCCTAACCAACTGGCGGCCCTGGGTGACTGCCCGGTTTGTCCGTAGGGTTGCCAGATGGCTTTTAAAAAAAAAAAAAACACACACACACAGACCGGACAAAAATGTGTCAAGCCAAAAAAAAAAAAAATTCAGGGAGTAACCAGGGAAACCTGAAGGAGGATTCGGGAGATCAGGACAAAATGTGGTTGTGGCCCACCCCTAAGACCGGTGGCCCCTTGAAAATGGCAGCCCCAAGCAACCGCCTGGCTTGCCCGCCCATAAGACCAGCCCTGCCAGAAGACCTGCCACGGCCTCAGGCGAGCCACTCGGCCGGCGGCGCGCCACGCTACGCAGCCCCACGTAAGCAGAGCACAGATCATCCCATTGACGCCGGGGCCGCGTCAGGAGTCGAGATGCAACTGAGCGGCCGCGGGTCTGGCCTGGCGATTCAGGACCAAGTGACTCCACTGGACAGCAACCAGTTTCCACCCCTGTGCAAAGGCAGCCACTGGACGAGCACCCTCCCTCTTTTCCCCCGTGATTCTTCAAGGGGAACAAGCTGGGATCCTGGCCCAATAACCAGGTGCCCTCAGGCTGGCAGAGTGGCCTGTTGCAGGCCAGGCCGAGGGAGCGCTCCGCAACTGGCCGTTGCACTGGGCTTTTGGTCTCCCGCTTGGGGGTGTCTTCTTTATTTAGAACAGGAAGGGGTTTGATGCCAACTTGGGCTCAGCCCCCCCTCACAGTCACAGCAAACCATGAAGCCTGGCCTACAAGAGACGGCTCACAGCTTTGCACAGAGCAGGAGCGCAGGCTGCCAATGCACCTATGTGGAGGATGCAAAAGGGGAGTTCCTGGTTGGGACGGGGCGTTGGGAGCAAGCAGGAGGTGGGTGAGGCAGGAGAAGGGCTGGGTTAGGGAGCCGAGAGGGAAGGGACATGTGCGGGCAGAGGATGCTTTCACACGGGCTGAAGCACCACACGAGGGAGGCTGGAGCTATGTGCAAGACAGAGAACTTGGGGGTTTTAAGAGGCGACTGGCACATGAAGAAATAACTGGGTACGTGCTGAGGCTGGGAGAAAAATCGCCACGGCAATGGAGGTTTTAGGGAACTCTGGGGTTTGAGGAAAAGCCGTCGCTTCAGGCAGAAAGACGCGACATTTTCAATCAAGGAAACAAAGACCCGAAACCCGACGCTTGCAGATTTGGCTCTGCAGCCGCGGCGTCGCCTGGAAGTTTTACTTCGGCTCCCTCGTGACCAGTTAGCCTCTGCACATCCCACTCCTACAGCAGGCTACTGCTCCCATAATGCACCTCGGTCTGTAAGGAAAGGTGGTGCATCATGGAAGGTGTAGTTCAGATGCCTCATGAGCCCATTGTCCTCTATGGACCGGGCTCCCTGGTTGGACTACCTCTCCCACAATGCAACATGGGAGATGTAGGACTACATCTCCCACAATGCAACATGGGAGATGTAGCCCACAAAGGACATGTAATTCAATTACTTTATGTCCAGTATTCCAGTGTTCCTTCTAATGTTTTCCATCCACATGCGGAATAAATTTCGGCACCATAGCATGTGCGAATGTGCACCACCAGTAGAAACACATGCTGCCAGCTGAGGTGCTCTGCTAACCAGCGAGGCAGCATCTGAATGTCACCTGGGCAACCGCTCAAGTCCTCCGCTTACAGGGAATGCTGTTCATGCCCTCATTCTCCATGGTGGGCTAGGCTCGTGATTGGACTACATGGTGCATTATGGGAGATGTAGTCCAAGAAGCCTGGTTCATAGAGAACAATGGGCTCATGAGGCACTTGAACTACAAGTCCCAGGAGGCACTGTGGTGGGGGGGGGGGGGAAGGTTACCAAAAGCCAAGTAGATGCAAAAAAAGGCATTTTAAAAAAAGGTGTATTTTTATTTTAAGTCTCCTTCCTACACAGCCACGCTGTATTTCTCTGCGAGCAGGTGCCCTTCAAAATAGCAGCAACCTCCCCGACGCACTACAACCCCCCCTCAAAAGAACAAGACACACACTTACCCCCCGTTTGAGGCTGCGGAAAGAGGTGATGCGGGGTTTGACTGTCTTATTGATCTCATTCAGACAGTAAGACAGAGGGTCCCGGGTGAATTTGGGGGACGGAGGTCCGTTGGTGGCAGACGAGGAGGAAGGAAGAGGGATAGAGATGGCTGGGGACAGGGGAGGAGGGGGGAGCTAGGGACGGACAAAGGGACAACAGAACACACGGACATGCACAACAGAGAGAACACCGTAAGAAAAAAAAAAAAAAACAGGTACCCGCACCAAAAAATAAATAAATAAATAAATACACCAAAAATAAAAAATCCAAACACAGCACAGGGACTAAAGGGGAGAGGAGGTCAGGACAAGTCGCACCATCACAGTCCACCAGCAGGGGGCAGCAAGGATGGGGGGGGGGGGGGG